GCCGCCTTCACTGAAACTCAGTAACTACCGTTGCTCGCTGCGGCTTCCTTCTCCCGTTTGAACCTTCGCGGTCCTGTCCACCGTCACCAAGTTCACTAGATTAACCTCATGCCTAATTACTGCCCAACGACATTGAATGGCGACTCCCATCCACCCTGCACCCCCTTCTCCCCCCCCCCCAGCTCCTCATCAGCTTTAGCACGATTGCGAGAAGAGCATTCCCGAGCTACCTTTACCTGTCCCTTTCTATTGGACATTATAACGTGTACACTGTAATATAACCATATTAGAATATCCCACGTACCCAACTACCATCCTTTCGTAAGACCTCCCCTCCCATTTGACATACCCCTTCACATTATCATACATCTCACATCATCAGCACCCCAACACCTCCGCCTCCATCCCCACCAACCTCTACGCCCTTCGCCCTTGTCCGCCGTCCCTCCCCCTCCTCCCCCGGTTCCACAGCACCGGCCGCGTCTCGCGGGGCCTCCCCCCCCCCGCCCCTCCCCCCGAACCCAAAAAACCGCGTCGCTGTCGCCGCGCCAGAAAAGACTTTCAATGGAAGCTCGTAATTAATAGGAGCAGCGTCCCGCACGGCGCGCGCGCAGACGAGCATTAACATGTGCGGCGCGCTTGATAATCTTGTCATGCTCGCAGTAAGCAACAACAAGACTAATTAGGCGCCCGCTTTCGAAAAAAGAAAGGCCTGCCCCTGTCCCTGGGTTCGTGCCTCACCTTCAGCAGAGAGGAGGTCGCTAGCCGGCCCCGGACACGATCGCGTTTACAATAATACGTCTCACGGGGGGGTGCACACGTCACAGGTTCGTAATTCCGATCGGCGGGGTAACATACGCGTTTGAGATCACTTCGAAACTTCTGCTCTAGAGCGAGAAATCAGTTATAGCTGGCCGCGCCTTTTAAAAATGAAATTTAAAAAACAAACAAGAAAGTTCAAAAAGACTATTTTCAAAAAAAAAATAGAAATCTTCGTCAAACTTATTTCCCAATCATAACTTTCACTCAATAGTTCTAATAAAAAAAATTGAATAATAAGTAACAAAAAATTGTGTTACATAGTGCGACTATATATTTACTTACAAACTTGTATACTCAGTACCGTTTTTTACACCAATTTTCTTGACAACTCTGCCCTTAAATACTGTTTTTGACGGCCTCCACAAAGCCAATGTTGTTTAACACATTTCTCTTCCCCAAATGAATTGAAAATGCAATGAGTAAAATAGAAAAATATGTAAGAGAAATAGTCCCTTCACACCAAGGACTCGCTGAAGATTGCGACTAAACAGGCCATGTTCTCAGCTTTCTCTTGGCCGACCGATAGACTTCTACTTCTCAGAACTGGGAAACAAGAATGCTAGAGATCGCCTAAAGCTCTCAGCAACACCTCATCAGAAAAATGTAACGAATCACACTTGTCAAGGTATCTACAAAAATTGAATACAGTACATGTTCTTTGTCTCTTTTCCGGTTTCAGAACACAAAAACCAATTATTGAATGTCTCGTGTAGAGTATCTCGCAGGACGCATCTACCAGCATCATGTATAGTAATTTAAACTATGCAATATTATAATGAGTATGATTGCCGGCACTACAGTATGTAAAAACCAGTAAAATTGTTGTAAGACTGAAAGATTAATTTTCATTCCGTCTCTAACTCATTAAACAGTAACCACTAATTGCCCAAATTCAATAACTGGAAGAAAAGCGGAAAGCAAGTATTGACCGCGATGCGAGTCTCACTTAGCCCTTCGAACGTACGAAAGCAGCAGGGTGGCGGTGAGGTGGGGGAGGGTG